AGGAAAAGGAAGAGGTGGGTATGTCCACCGGCCATGTTGCCTGAGCACCCACTGTGCCAGGTCCTGCTTCAACTGCTGGGACAGAGCAGTTCATAAAACAGATACATTCCTGCCCTCCCTGGGTTTGAGAATATTAAAATATTAACCCACAATGGCCAGTTCTCTGCTCTGTGCCAAGCTTGCATTCATGGCAATCATCTCTTTACTGTTTTAGGAAAGATTGGGGCCTGAACCTCCCTGATGGTCTTCTAGGGTGTCCAGGCCTCCTCAGCACTGAGGTCATACTCACCAGCAATCCTGAGGGGCAGCAGGGCAGGAATTCCTATCCTGGTGTAGGAGGCACAAAGAGGGGAATGTCTTGCCATGGGCTCTTCACTTACAAGAGACAGAACCAAGTGAATTTCAGATGGCTTTGTGGGGGAAGCCCCCAGTGTGCAGGCTTGGTTCATAGTGCCTACTTATGTGAGCTTTCGTGAGCATAGCCACAGGCTTTGGAGGGGGCCCTGTGGCCTGTCCCCCGTTCCTAGCCAGTGTGGCACCAGGGGAAAATTCCTGCCCATCTGGCTCTGGGGAAGTGGGTGGCATCATCCCCTTTCCTGGGGCTGTAGTGTCACATCAGGGCTGGGCCCCTCTTGTCCAGCCCCAGCTTGGGTGGGGGAACCTGCCTGACAGACAGGCAATGACAGTGTCACCCTGGGAGGCTGTGGGGTGGTGCGTTGACCCAGTAGAAAAGTGAAGGTACTTTCCTTGGACTAGTTTGCTAGAGTGAGGGTGAATAAGCTGGTTGCTGGCAGGGAAGCCTCTGCTCAGGCCTGTGCTGTCCTTCAGTGGAACCCCAGAATTCTGCCCTGAATTCCTCACCCCCATGATGGACAGTACTGGGCATAGCTAAGAAGGCTTCCTCAGGCATGCATGTTGTGGGGGGTGTTCCCCATGAGTTCACTAGAGGAGTGCTGATCATGCTCCCAGGGCCAGCATGTCAGGACCGGGCCAGCCAGGGACCTTTCTGAGGGCACGTGGTTTTAAAGTTGTGTCTTGAAGTATGAGTTGGGACTCACATGGGGGCCTCGGGAGTGTGGTGGAGGGACATTCATTCCATGGAGTGACCCATAGTGAAGGCAGGAGGAACCCAGGCAGGATGTATCTGTGAGTAGGAGCCTGGGGTACAGGGGCTGGGAGCTGGAAAAGCCAGTTGATCGGCTTGGCCTGGGAGGTGTGAATGGGCTCCAGTGGAGGAACACACTGGGGGAGGGTCTGGTGGAGCCAAGGTGAGTGTTTGCAGGAATGGGTGAGGCTGGTGCTTGGTCTAGCAGTGTCCCCCACTGCTAGTAAGTAGTTACCTGTTTCTCCCCACCCAGCCAGGCGCAACAGATAAGGGGAAGAGAGAGGGTTCTGGCAGGGAATGGTTGTGCCTTGCCATACAGTCTCCTCAGGCTGGCCCTGAGGCCTCATTGGGCCTACAGTCCTCTTTAGCTTCCCTAGCGTGTGCAAGAATCTTGGGGATTGGGGTTCCGGGGTGGCTCGATCAGTTGAGCGTCTGCCTTCGGCTCGGGTCATGATCTCTTGGGATCCTGGGGTCAGCCCTCACATTGGGCTCCCTGTTCAGGGGAGAGTCTGCTTCTTCCTCTGCCCTTCCCCACTGCTTGTGGTTTTTCTCAAATAAATAAATAAAATCTTAAAAAAAAAAAGAATCTTGGGGATCTTATGAAATGCAGTCTTTGATAGAGCAGGTCTTTGGGGTAGCAAGATGCTGCATTTCTTCGAGCTCCAGTAAAATAAAGCTTTCCCTGCTGTTCAGTGAGCCAAGGCAACTGGTGGTCCATTCCTGCCTGTGGATATGCCCTACTTGCCCCTCACCTTCTGGTTTGGGGGGTCTGTCCCTCCTGATGGATCCTGAGAACAGAACTGCCTTTTATCCAGGGATTTATCCCTACTGCTTGGCACAGCACCTGGTTTCTTAGTAGGTTTTCAGCAAATACGAGTGAGTGAGTGAACAAGTGTGGACGAAGTGTCCCTTTCCCATACATCAGGCAAGCCCTTTCAGAGAACAGCAAAGGTTACAGCTGCCAAGAACGATGGTTTCTCTGTTCTCTTGATGAGGCCGTTTCCCCTGGAATGGGCTGGGAGGACACTAAATTTTAACTTTGCACACACTGCTGGTTGGTGAGCAGTTGGGATGGTAGCCTGGTGCTGTGAACATGGGATCTGTCATTGAGTTAAGATTATATAATCTCTGCCTTTCCTCTAGGAAGCTTGATGAAAGTTCCAAGCAAGTGACAGAACTTTTGTGTTTAGCCAGGGCTGGCATACAGGGGAGGAGGTGATGAGACCGTTTTTGTTGATAAAAGCATGGTCTGTTTCCAGAGATTTTCATACGTCACATCTCTTTTGATCATAATATTTTACGCAAGAGTTCTCAAGATGGGCAGGATGGGCTTATTGGATTTGCCTTGAAGTCATGTAGCTTCCAAATAAACTTGGTGCCCACGTGCCCACCATGGACTGAAGCAAGAAAGCAGTGTACCTGACCACAGTGCTATCCCCCTGGCATGTTGGGCTAGATTTCCTCTGCTTTTGTCCTTCTGCCTAACTGGTTTTATAATTTAGAACAATTTTTTTTTAAAGAATGCCCATAGTAATTTTTAGCCTGTGTCAGATGGGGTGTTCTTTCTCCTGAATTAAAAGAACTCCCCGTGAAAGTACTGAGACTTTTGAAGCACCTTTACTTTAAAAATTGAGCTTAGGAAAGTTTTCCATGTGGGCAACTAGAGGGGCTGGTAGCCTCTCTGTGTTTGGAAGAGGTGGCCCTGGCCCCTGTAATACACCAACAGTTCCTCGTGGTTCTGGCGCCACATAGGAAGTGCCTACAGCTGGGCAGCCCTAGGGTAAGCTGGGTGCCTCCATTTTCTGACAGCACCTGAACCCTACCTCACTTCTCAAAATGAAGGCTGTGTGTCACAAACCGGTTAGAACTGGCTGTTGCCATGGTTTTCATGTTGGAAGGCACAGTTAAAGGGTCACATGACGAAGGAGGGAAATGCCTTTGTCACGTGACTTTTTGGTGGCTGATTAGCATACAGGAAATTCACTCCCTGCTGGCTGCTGGGATGCTGAGTGATTATTGTTGGGGGTGGGGGTGACGTCATCTTTTGGATGAGTTATTGATTACTCTCAGGCCAAGATGAGACCTGGGAGTGCTGTGGTCAGAGTAGCCATCTCAGGAAGCTTCAGCCTCCAGATGGTCTCGGTCCCTCAGCCTGCCCTCTTCCCTCAGGCAGATTTGAGTTTTGTTAGACCTCTCAACCTTCAGAAAAAGTGCATGCCCTCAGTAAGATGATAAAAAGTGATCACCATCGTCTCCGTGCACTCTTGCTCAGGATATGCCTGCAGTCTGCAGTTCTAGACATGGTTCTGCCTGGGCTGCTGCTCTGTCTGCATGTAGCCACCTGGGAGCTCACCTGGGCTGGGACCAGTGGCTACAGCTCGTGTGCTGGGGCCTTGCACTACCCCTCAATATCTGTGTCTGTATCCAGAGAACCTGGATAGTTGGAGCCCTGAGGTCACCTTGAAAGTTGATCTTGGGCAGAGTGGGCAGTTAGCAGGGAGACATACAGAATGAGTGGTGGTTCCCACATTGCACTGGTCTTTGGTTTGGTAAGGCCTGAATGTGACATCCTGGGTTACTTTATAAATAGCCAGATAGTTTCTGGACTTGAGAATGTAGATTAATCACCCCAGTGAGGAGACTGTATATCTTGAAATGGCACCTTTTCGTCCAGTCCCCTGATTTCTTGTGAGAGTTCGACCAACAGCTGCACTGGTTAAATCAAATCAAGGTTAGGAGTATTGAGGTGTAGCCACCATGTGGCTCTTGAGGAGGAATGGAAGAGCCCTGGTTGGGGGGAAAGTTCCAGGGGCAAACATGAACCCTCACCATTTGGTCCTCTGTACCCATCCTTGCCTAAAGACAGAGCTCATTCCAGGAATGGAAAAGGCAGTTGAGTGGGCTGTTAAAACTAGTTCTCCATCTACAACTCTGTCCCTGCTTTGCTGGGGTCTAGTAGGAGGAGTGGGACAACTAGAGCTGTTTCTCCCAGTTAACTTTATCGAGTTTGTTCACTGGGTCACAGTGCCACCTGGTGGGTTTGTTTGGTCCTCTGCTGGTTTTCCTACTGATGAAAAGGATCCTAATTCTTCAACACAAGTGGAGGCCAGGTCTTAAGGGAAAGTTTACATTGGGCCCTCAGCAAACAGCTGCTTGGTTGGGGGCAAAGCACTGTCTCTGGGACCTTGTATGTAGGATCAGCAACACAGTAGAAGCGCAGCGTCACACACAGGAGCCCTAACAAGGGGCCAGGAAAGACCCTGCCTCAGCCCCAGGATCCTGGTTTTTGTTGTTGTTCTTTTGAGATTTTGTTTATTTTGAGAGAGAGAGACCATGCCCACATGCATGCCTGTGCAAGCAGTGAGGGCTCAGAGGGAGAGAACCTCCAGTAGGCTCCGTGCTGAGCATGGAGCCCTGCACAGGGCTCGATCTCATCACCCCAAGATCATGACCTGAGCTGAGATCAAGAGTCGGCACTTAACCAACTGAGCCACCCAGGCGCCCCTCAAGCTGAGCATTTTTGTTGGACACTGAGCCACATGCTAGAGAAGGGAGCTGCGGTATTTTCCAAAATGGCCATATCACACTTGAACACAGGTGTCCTCAGCCCTGGGTACACAGAGGTGGACACCAAGAATAGTCCTGGCTAGGGGCCTAGCTGTGGGTTTGGGTGCCTCTTGGTGAGTACAGTGAGAGAAGGCAGTTTGGGTGTATGGTAGGGAGAACGCCCAAAGAGAGAGGCTAGGGAGAGTGAGTGGGGCAGCCATGCTCTCCACCTCCTTGCTGGGACTGTCTAAATCTGGGATCTGTGGTGTATGCGTGCCAGACCCTGGGGAACGGTGTCTGGCAGAGCATCTGGGCACTCTGGTAACAACCTGCTTTCCCTGCTCCACAGTGACATGAAGTCTGAGAGGAGAGCCCCCTCTCCTGATGTGATTGTGCTCTCTGACAATGAGCAGCCTGCAAGCCCAAGGGTGAATGGGCTGACGAAGGAGGCCTTGAAGGAGACCAGTACCGAGGCCCTCATGGTGAGCCTTGTCCCCATGTTGGGGGATGACCCTGCCCGACAATATCCCCCAGTGGTGTTGGTGATGGTGGGGCCTGTGCTCCCCGGCTGTGGCTCTCCCTTTGAACCCTTGTTCTCTTGCCCTTGCAGAAAAGCAGTCCTGAAGAACGAGAAAGGATGATTAAGCAACTGAAAGAAGAGTTACGATTAGAAGAAGCAAAACTCGTTTTATTAAAAAAGTTGCGGCAGAGTCAAATACAAAAGGAAACTACCGCCCAGAAGGTGTGTGTGTGTCCATTCTCTCCTCAAGAGTCAGCAGGAGCCAGTTAAAACAGGGGACAGAAATCCAAACTCATTACCTGGGCCCACCTCAGTGCCAGGAACAGGAGCAGCTGGTCACAGGCAGACAAGTTTCCTCAGGGGCATAAGGGTCAAGGTCTGAAATGGAAATTTGAATTACAGATTTTGCGAAAAGGAAGTCAGAGTAAGAGGATATTACAGTGCGTTTTGGTTTAGAATATTCTCGATCTGAGTATGTAAAACTTGTAGATTGGAAGCATCAAGAAAACAGATGTCTTAGAAGCTGCTGGAAGTTCTGGGTTAAGAGTTCTTTCCCAAACCCATTTACAGAGAGGCCTCCTGTTCTGTGGGTGGGCCATGCTGGCCATCAGGGGCTACCATGGTTTTGTGGATAGATTCCCTAATGCTGCAGGGGCATGCCACAGTGCTGCCCAGGCCCCAGAGTCTCTGTCCTGGGGCTCCTCCTCCTATCTCCCCTGGTGTCTGAGGCTCCTTTTGCTGCTTCTAAATGCAGGTTACTGTGTAGACCAAGGTCTGGTTTGTTTTGTTGGGTTTTTTAAAGCTACCCTTCTTTTTACTTTAACCACTATCTCAGTAAACCAGAAAGTAAATGTGTCTTGGGCAGTATGAGGTGACAGAGTATATAGAACACAAGTCCCCTTAAGGGAGCAGGACAGGAGGATACTCATTGGTCTCACTTAGGGCTTTGCTTGAGCTCTCACTTGAACATATGTCAGTAAGTGGACATGGCCTGGCATCTATTAATCTCTTACTGGACAGAGTCTGCCTATTACTTGTTTCCTTTCCAGTTGTTTAAGACTCAGTGGAGTGAACCAAGTTTGTCCCTGTCCCTTACCTAGTGGAATATGTTACTTTAAGAAGTGCCTGGACTTGGTGTTTGTCACCAAGGTTGGGATTAATCTTTTCAGGCCTGGGGTCCTTTGCCTCAGTCACCATCACTAGCCCTTCACATACCCTGGAAGGCAAAACCTGCTTTTGAACCATAATGTGATGTCAAGCATCCCCAGGGGTGAGGGGTGCTGGAAAATCTCTCCTCTGCCCATTTCAAGCGAGTCAATTCCTGCTACAGACTTTAGCAGGATGGAAGCAGAACCTTAGAGCCTGATGCCTTTGGAAGAGGAAGAAAACCAATCTTCCTCTGTCTGGATTGCGTGTGAGGGGAGTGGGGCTGACGACTCCCTCATCTCTCACATGTCCTGCTCTCTTACAGCCCACAGGCTCTGCTGGGAGTGCCGTGACCACCCCTCCCCCGCTTGTGCGGGGCACCCAGAACATTCCTTCTGGCAAGCCATCCCTTCAGGTCAGTGTTCCCTCTGTGTTAGGCTCCTGAGCGGTCCTGATCCAGTTCCTGTGAAAGGCTGCCCATTCCATATGATTAGATTGGAGTGAGGCCCAAACTTAGGCCACTGTTGACATCATGAACAAATCATGCCAGTGCTGAGAGGTTTCCTCCTATGACTGCTCCTAGCAAAATTGGAGAGAGAACCAAGATTTAGGCAGGCCAGGTTCCTTTCATTTCGACACTCCCAAGTTTGTGGGACCCAGCAGGACCTCCTACCCACAGGGTGAGATGGGCAGAGCTCCCACTTCCAGACACAAGACTAAGGTCTGAACAGGGGCCCACCTTTCCTCAAGCCTGTGCCCTCAGGTCAGACCAGCAAGAAAGTGGCACCCAGCCCGGGTTAGCTGGACTTCTGCTGTGGTAGGGGTCGTGTGGGTGAAAATGTGCTACCTTGTTGGTGCAATTCACTCCTGAGTGAGTCCAGTCTGCACGGCTATTATTGTAATCCATGTTCTTTGTTCTTCTGTGCTTAGAGTAAATAGACATTTTAGTGCCCCCCCCCTTAAACAAGTATGTACTTTACAAAACAGTAAACCTGTTTGTTTAAAAAAAAAAAAAAAAAGCCATATAAAATCTGGGGTTTGGTGCTGTTGACAGACCTCTTCAACAAGAATGCCTGGCAGTGTCATCCCACCACCCCTGGTCCGCGGCGGGCAGCAGGTGTCCTCGAAGCTGGGGCCACAGGCGAGCTCACAGGTCGTCATGCCCCCACTCGTCAGGGGGGCTCAGGTGAGCAGGGTATGCTTGTGGGGTGTTAGAATGTGTCCAGGCTACTCCAACCAGCCACCTCACAAAGAACCCTTCCTGGTCATCAGGTTGGGGATTATGGGGCCCACCCCTTCCCTCCTTCCATTGTTCCTCTCATCATCTTTTTATTTATTTTATTTCATTTTTTATTAATTTTTTTTTAGAAGGGAAGAGAGAGAGTGTGTGTGGGGAGGTATCCATACAGTGGAATGTTATTCAGTCTTAAAAAAGCTGTTCGTTTTTTGGGGTTTTGTTTTGTTTGTTTGTTTTTGAGAGAGAGTGCAGTGGGGGGACAGATGGAGAGAGAGAGAGAAAATCCTAAAGCTCCATGCCCAGTGTAAAGCCCGACGTGGGGCTCAATCTTACAACTCTGATATCACCTGAGCCGAAATCAAGAGTTGGACGCTTAACCAACTGAGCCACCCAGGCGCCCCATCCCTCTCACCATTTTGTCCCCTGTCCCACCCCACAGCAAATCCACAACATCAGACAACATTCCAGCACGGGGCCGCCGCCGCTCCTCTTGGCTCCCCGGGCGTCTGTGCCCAGTGTGCAAATTCAGGGACAGAGGATCATCCAGCAGGGCCTCATCCGCGTCACCAACGTCCCCAACACCAGTCTGCTTGTCAACATCCCACAGGTGAGGGCTGTGCTGACGTAACCTAACCCCACCCCCCACCCACACACACATCAAGGGTGCCCAGTCCTACGGCATAGTCAGGTATCCAGAGTGGTATGGTGTGACCTGCCTGCTCCCTCAGAGCCAGGCAAGGCCTTGGATGCCCCATGGGGGTTTGGACTGGAGCTCCTCCGGGCCTGTCGCGGTATAAAAGTCATGGGCTGGAGTCCTGTGTTAAGAACTATGGTCTAGCAGAGGTGGATAGGTATTGAGAAAGGGAGAGGTGCAGACCTGAGCTGAAGGGTTGGGGGGAGGCTTCAGGTGGCGTGTGGGACCCAGCATGTTTTGGGGGATGGATGAGGCCTGGAGATGGCTGGGATGGGGGAGTGGGGCACCAGAGCCTTCCCTACCCTCCTCCCTGTCCATGAGCACATGAAGGGAGCATGGCTGCAAACGTCCTCACAGCACCAGCACATCTATTCTTAGCCACGAGTCCTTTCACCTCTGTACAGAGCCTCTGAGATGGGGTGGGTCTATTCCCACCCAGCAGAGGCAGGAAGATGGGACTGGGTGAGTGGGCAGGCTAGAAGCAAGAGCTTTATTGACAGATAAAATTATTGGGTCTGCAGGGGCTTTTGCTGATGGGTGTATTAGCTTCTCTTATTCCTCTGGCGTGGTACGTTTTTGTCTGCCTCCCTCAGATAAGAGCCTGACCAGCAGGGTTCTGAGCAGCATCCCTGCCTTCTAAAGTCAGGCCAGGCCGAGGTACTGTGACGGCTGGTGTCCTCTATGAGGATGGGGGTCCTAGGAAACCATTCTGGGCTCCCTGAGTCCTATGATGTGTTGTGTGCAAGTTGTCAGGTGTGTGTGTTTTCCCGGGGGTGGCGTATGCTGCTTTCCTTAGATTTTCAGAAGGGTCCTCAACCCTACCAAGGTGCACTGGTGTGATCAGCTCTGGGTTTTGGGGAAAGCACTTGACAGGGTTGGGGGCTGGGTGAACTAGAGCAAGGAGACAATGGAGCATTGGCCACTGGGGTCCAGATGAAGACAAGAAAGTAGTATAGGAGCACCAAAAATCAAGAGGGGAGAAGGGCAGACAGGAGTTGGTCCAAAAGCTGTTCTCCCCTGTAACCCCAATGAGGACACATGAGGTAAGTAAAACGTTAGAGTCTCCAGACAACCACATACAAAGGTGCTCATCAAGGAAATGCCACCAGTGCTGTAGTGATCTGCTGTCATACCCCTGTGAAGAAGGCAGCCATCTAGACCTGTGCTGGGAGGAAGGCTGCTAGGCCATAGTGATGGGACAGTGGCCAGGGTGCCTGAGCGGGGTTGCCTGCTGCCCTGATCGTGGTAATGGCTATGGCTTCAGAGGTGTCCTCATGTGACAAAACATAGAATACAGATTGTAAATGTGTGTAGTTGTTGGATATCAGCTAAACCTCAACAAGTATATTTTACAACATTGGTCATTTCATACGGTGATGAGTTTAATGTTGCTTTGCCTGTTGGCTTGCTGATGTCAGGCAGCTCGGAATTACTACCTTAAAGACTCATTAGTGCAGCCAACAGTGCCATCCTGGACTGGGATCAGGCACCCCCAGCACCCTGACCAGGTTGTTATCTCCCAAAAGCCTTCCCCAGCGTCGCTGAAAGGGACGACAGCCACCTCTGCTCAGGCCAACTCCACCCCCACCAGCGTGGCCTCTGTGGTCACTTCTGCTGATTCTCCAGCCAGCCGTCAGGCAGCTGCCAAGCTTGCGCTGCGCAAACAGCTGGAGAAGACGCTGCTTGAAATCCCCCCTCCCAAGCCCCCTGCCCCGGAGATGAACTTCCTACCAAGCGCTGCCAACAACGAATTCATCTACCTGGTTGGCCTGGAGGAAGTGGTGCAGAACCTGCTAGAGACCCAAGGTGAGTGGCCTTGGGGCCATTTTCATCTCTTGCCACTGAAGTTTCTCTCACATAGGTTATTTTCAATGCCTGCTGCATGCTGAGAGCTGTCTGGGGTGGAGCATCTTATGGATGACCTTTTGTTATTAGTCCTGCTTTCTGTGAGGCTTAAGTTTTTGCTTATTTGTTTTAGTTTTTACATTCATTCATTCATTGAGAGCACAAGCGTTTGTGAGAAGTGGCAGTGGCCGGGGGCGGGGGGAGGCGGGCAGGAGGGGGCAGATCTTAAGCAGACTTAATGCTCTGAGCATACCCAACACTGGGCTCAGTCTCATGATCCTGAGATCATGATCTGAACCAGAATCAAGAGTTGTACACTTAACACTTAAGCAACTGAGCCACCCAGGTGCCCCATTAGTTTTTACATTTTTTAAAATATTTATTATTGAAGTATAGTTGCCATATGTTGTTACATTAGTTTCAGGTGTATGATACAGTGATTTAACAATTTTATAGGTCATTAAGTGTTCACCACAATAAATGTGGTCCCTATCTGTCACCTTAGATAACTTCTTAAATATATCACAGTCACCTTTTTTCTCTTGTTGGGGCCTTTTCTGAGAGCTGGGCCCTGGGGAAGCCCAAGGCCCTGCACACATGATCTGAGGGGGTTGCTGCTCTATAACATTGGGGCAGGCAGAGAGGGATGAGAAGGAACGTTTGCAGGAGGCTGACAGGCTTTGCTTCCAGATGGGTCTCTCCAGCTAGAACTTCCCAGAGCCTTGAGTACTCTGAGCCCTGAAGGTAGGAAAGGGACACCCATGCCTGGGCCAGACTCATTTTATCACCCTCCTTGGAAACAGTTTGGAAAGCACCACTTGCACGTTAGGAGGTTTTAGGGATAAAAAGGGCATATATAGGGTCGCGATCAAAAGTAACATTGGAAATGGAGGTGGGAAGCCAGGTTGAGGGGCCTCCACCAGACGATTTGAAGATGTTTCTGCTCTGAGATTGAGTTTGTGGTGATATTATTTGGGCAGCCAGCCTGAATCCTCTCCCTGCATGATCTCAGCAGATGCTCAGAGCTGAGGAGGAGGTGGAGCTGTAACTGGTCCAGGGCAAGGGAGGGCCTGGTAGGCTTCAGACCACATACCTTGAATTGTCCCTTGGTACATGCCAACCCCTCCCAGGGCTGCTCTTACCAGCACAGACTTGGGAGTGACAGTAATGGCTCCTATACAGAGGAAAAGCACCCTCTGCCTGCTTGGTGTCAGGGTGTTGGAGGGAGTGCTCTCTTCCCCTTCTTTAGTCAATATATCACAGAGTATATATCATATCCTTGGATGTTGTATCCAGTGCCTCTTAGAGGTAGAGCCCTCCATACCTGGTTGGGGGCCAGACCCAGGGCAGAGGATGCCCAGCTGGTCACCTCAAATTTACTTATAGCTTCCTTACTGTACCCCACCCACCCACCCATCCAACCCCATTGCTCTTAAAAATACTCCCCAACTGCAGGGCCATATCAAGGACTGACCATGAGTCAGGCTGAGAGTGGGAGGCCACATAGGGCCAATATTGGCCTCTGTAAAATTGGCCATGGTGGCTTCCACTTGTCAGGGGACCAGGCCCAGGAGGGAAGGGTGCGAGCTCTCACATGGCTTGGATGTGTCTGGATCCTTTTGGTGTCGTCTTATGATGGAGTGATATTGGCAAAAGAGCTGCCATGAGGCCAGTGCAGGATGGGTGGGTGGTGGGAGGACCGTCAGGACACAGTGCCCACCCATCTGTACCTGGGTGCCCTGGGCATCTCCTCTTCCCGATGAGCCTGTCTCTATCAGGAGTCAGTATCCCTCTCGTATTGCCCAAAACAGGACCTAACTGTGGGAGGAAGCTCTGAGCCCCTTTTGAGGTGTCCCGGGATACCTCCCAGAGCCCCAAGCTGGGTGACTAAGTGCAGCCTCATACCAGGGTCTCTCCACTCTGATGTTCGTCCTGCCTACTATAGCTGCCTAGAAAGAGGTACTGTGTCTTCTAGGGTTGGACGTTTGGAAGGTGATGTGCTCTTTTCACCAGGGCATGTTAGCTGTAGGTGGGGGCCTGGGGTGAGGGACTCCCCCAGTCTGATCCTGTACAGCCAGCCCCTCAGCATTCAGGGGCAGCTTGGGCAGGCCCAGGGCTGGAGAGAGAAGCCAAGGGTCTCTTGGCAGCAGTGTCTCTGATATTAAGAGGAAGTTAAACCCTTGAATACTCTAGACACAAAAAAGATAGTTAGAAAATGCAAAAAGTGCCCCTTACTTCACTCTCTTTTTTTTTTTAAGATTTTATTTATTTATTTATTTATTTATTTTAGAGAAAGGGTGTGAGAATGAGCGAGCAGGAGGAGGAGTAAAGGGAGAGGGACAAACAGACTCCGCCCTGAGTGTAGAGCCCAGTGCAGGGCTCAGTCTGACAACCCCGAGATCATGACCTGAGCCGAAATCAAGAGTCGGACGCTTAACTGACCGGGCCGCCCAGGCACCCCCTCCTTACTTCACTTTCAATGACAAAAAGAATATTGATCCCATGCCTGAGCATGTACTTTAGTTGGCTTCCCCAGTCACCCTTCCTATGGCCAACTGAGGGGATGCAGTGTTCCCATTTCTCAGACAAGGGGGCCAAGGACCCAGAGCAGTTATGTGCCCTCATCTGGGCAGCACATGTGAGTCCTGGCCCTGCCACGACTGGCATGTGACTCTGCAAGTCACTTCATCTCCTCAGCCTTGGTTTCCTCCTCAAGATAACAGGGTGGGGTGCCCTGTTAGGAGGTTATTGTGAGAATTCGAACACCTTTGTATGCACAAGACACTGGGTATGACACTTGTCAGCAGGAGCACTTGCTGGATAATTCAGTCCTTAGTTGACTCGCCCACTAGCAAGGATGCCTGTCACAGTGAGGTGGGACCTGGAGGGTTACTTCCTCTTCACTGTGAGGAGGTGTGGGAGGGTAGGAAAAGCAGTCGGGAGGAGCCAATCTGAGATAGTTTTGTTCTTTTTAAGATTTTATTTATTTATTTGAGAAAGAGCACAAAGGGGGCTGCAGAGGGAGAGGGAGAAGGAGACTCCCCTGCTGAGCAGGGAGGCCGACCTGGGGCTTGATCCCAGGATCCTGGGATCATGACCTGAGCTGAAGGCAGACACCTAGCCAACTGAGAAGCCCAGGCACACTAGAGAGCACTAAGGTTCTTGAGAGTTGGTACCCAGTGCACCTAATCCATGGCATTTTCCAAAGCTGCTTACCTTCTATCAGCAAACCTTCCCCAAAGCCCAAGGCTGGCCTAGTGTCCACACACAGTTGGCACCAATACATGTGTGCCAAACAATGTCTTAGAATTTGGCTTCCTGATGCCAGCTGGGCCATATAGTCCAGGGCAATGCTCCAGATCACATGTCCTCATCCTGTCCTGGGATGGCAGGGGCTCTGACTCTGGGGCATCCTGTTCCTATGACATGAGTCCACCTACCTCTCCCTGCAGCGGGCAGGATGTCGGCCGCTGCTGTTCTGTCCCGGGAGCCCTACATGTGTGCGCAGTGCAAGACGGACTTCACGTGCCGTTGGCGGGAGGAGAAGGGTGGTGCCATCATGTGCGAGAACTGCATGGCATCCAACCAGAAGAAGGCACTCAAGGTAGAGCACACGAGCCGGCTGAAGGCTGCTTTTGTGAAGGCTCTGCAGCAAGAGCAGGAGATTGAGCAGCGCCTCCTGCAACAGGGTGCCGCCCCCGCACAGGCCAAGGCTGAGCCTGCCGCCGCCCCACACCCCGCGCTAAAGCAGGTGAGAGTCCCTGGGGAGCCAAAGCTGCGGCCCTGTGGCCTGGGAACGTGGGCTGGGCGGCCTCACCTTCTAGGAGAGGGGGCCTTGTTCCGTTGGCAGGGAGTTGTTGCTAGCAAGCAAGATGTTCTGACGTTCTGTCCCACACTGGGCAGTCATCTGCCTGGTTGTTAACTGTGTGTCTAAATTGCATTTAATGGTGGCCTTTGGTGGTGAAAATACTAATTTGCAGTTTCTTTAGATTTTGTAGCTTTCACGTGCAGTGTTCCGGCTGACAAGTACTTCTTGTCTAAAAGGACTTTTCTGAAAGCCACATTGAGATGCAAAAGGGGCATTTGGAAGAAATGTTCTAGCTAAATTGAGAGAAGCAAGTTTGAAATCAAGTTTTTTGGCTGCTTTTTTTAATGCTTTGCTTTCCCACCCCCTGTAGACCCAAAGCACCCCGTTGGCAATTTTTTGTGTCCTCGGAAGTCATTTGTAATTCACTAATAAACACATCTTCTCAAGATCCTTATATAGTGGGAGGCTGTACTGCCCTCGGGAAGCGGCCCATCCCGTGGGGACTAGGCCTCGTGTGGCCACAGCTGCTGCCCTTTGGTCACTCTAGGTCACCCTAGGCCGTCTGTGGATGGTGCTGACGTCGATTTCAACCCCCCCCCCCCCGTTTGTATAGGTCATAAAACCCCGGCGTAAGTTGGCGTTCCGCTCAGGAGAGGCCCGCGACTGGAGTAACGGGGCTGTGCTACAGGTCAGAACTGCGGTGCCGGGAGCCCCTGCACCGCACCACCAACCAGCCCTCACGCCCCAGACCGTGACCACGTCAGTCGCCGACTGTCACGCTGCCTGTGTCTATCTCTCTCTCTCTCTCTCTCCCTCCCTCCTTCCCCTACCCCCTTGGTGTAACTTACCTGGTCTCCTGATTTTGGACTTTAGGGACCCTGTGTGGGTGGGAAGAGGTCAGCCAGAGCACGGAGAGGCTGCGCTGAGCGTCTCGCCCTCTGTCACCCCCTTCCGCACATGAGCCATCACACCCTCTCTCCACTGTAGGCCTCCAGCCAGCTGTCCCGGGGCTCGGCCACAACGCCCCGTGGTGTCCTGCACACGTTCAGCCAGTCACCCAAACTGCAGAATACAGCCTCAGCCACAGCCCTTGTCAGCAGGACCGGCAGACATTCCGAGAGAGCTGTGAGCACTGGCAAGGGCAACACCTCCACCAACTGGAAGAAGGCACCCCTGAGTACAGGTGAGCTGCCCCCACACGGTGAGGTTCATCCCTTCCTTGCTTTTTTCTAGGACTTGCACACATACAAGGGAACAGAAATGGTGCATGGAGCCCTGAAACCCCAGACCTGTTCCGTGAGAGCAGCTGCTTTTGACTCTTCAGCTTGATCTCTGTTCACCAAATAGGATACTCCAAAACAAGTGGTAGCCTTGGGTAGATACTAATGTCCATCCTTTGTATGCTCTATACCCACACTCTTAGCTCTTGACCCAAAATGTTGGGCAAACCCAGTTTAGGTGTAGTCTCTCTCTCTCTCTCTCTCTCTCCCCCCCCTCCCTCACACAGACACACACACACACACACACGTACACACCATCCAGTGGACACCTGTCAGCACAGACACTTATCTTGCCAATTCTGGGGCCCCCTCACCCCTTCCTGCCATAGGGAACACCTGTTTTGCTGTTATGTTGTACCTTTTTCTGGTGCACTAACTTAATTTCTTGTTCACCCAGATAGTGTTCTTCATTCCCTGCTCTGTGGGACACTCTTCCCACCCTCTGACTTAGGTCAGGTGGTGCAAAGTGTAAACCAGGAACAAGACGGTGGGGAGGTAGATAAGGGTAAGATCCCTGAGGCAGGGGCTAAGATTTTGACTAGGGTGGGTGGTAGAGGATTCTGATAAAATCACATTTGAGGAACAACTCAGCAGAGGGGGATACCCTCAGGTGAGCGTTCCCTAGTCTGCCACAGTCCCATCATCCCTGGGTCGACGCCCACACCACTTTCCCTGTTTTTAATTATTTATGTGCCGGCACTAAGGTGATAGTTAAATATTTGTTTCCATCAAAAACAGGAAAGTGAAAGGTAGGCACAAAGGGCTGAGAGAAGGAGACAGGTGAGCACTTTCACTATGGGAGCCAGTGCCCCTCCCTGCCCCCCACCCAAGTTTGCTGTATCCCTGTAGAAAAAAGGAGGTAACATCATGAGAGTCCTCTCCCTAGGCAGAACTGGGAAAGCCAGGCTGGGTGTGCAAACAAAACACGGGAGTCAGCTGTGTGTGCAGCTGACCATAGAGTTAGAAATGTGGCCAAGAATCAGAGCCTTCCACCGGGTGAAGCTCAGGAGAGGGAGTACATTTGTCTGGTTGCAAAAGAATCTGAGTAGCCGAGAGAGCATTTGTAAATGTAAGCAGGCAGAGAGGCTTTTGTGCAGCATGTGTAAGATGCAGCTAAGAATTCATAGCTGTTTGAAAATTGCTTTTATGGGAAATTTGGAAGTATACAAAATCAGTTACAGGTATGTGCATGTGTACACAGTGGTAGCAGATATGTGAAAATCTTGCGTTAAAGTCTTTGAAAGGGAATATGAAGGAATAAGTAGTTGCTATGTTCAGCGGTAGAACTAGAGGTAAATGTGTAGTAGCTTAAAAGCAGCATTTCCCAAGAGTTCTACCAGCACTCCAGGTTACCCTTGGTTTCTGGGCAGGACCCAGTCAGGTTTCTCTTTAGTATGTAGAGAGGTTTCCCTATTGCATTTGACCTCAGAACACTTGTTCCACAAAATGTAGTAACCTCCACCAAAAATACTCTTGGGGTAACACGGTGATGGGGGCAGGGGACAGGGCAGTCCTTACCCCCATGCCAGCCAAATATCTGTGTGTGTTGGAGATTGGGGGGGTCATTTGTTCATTTTCCACTTGTAAAAGAGATGCTTGCTCATTGGGGAAAATTTGGAGAATACAAAAAGAAGAGAATGGTGTTTCTATCCCAGGAGAACAAACGCTATACTTCGGGGCTTTTCCTCCATTCTGCCTCTTCACTGCTGTGTCCCTTGTGTGTAACTAACTGAGTGCCCTGCAGAGGCATCATGCTCTGTCACCATTCCGTGTCCCTCTTAATGTTTTCGTGAGAGAATATTACCATACCATTAAAAACCCTGTCATTCTGGGTGCCTGGGTGGCTCAGCCAGTTAAGCGTCTGCCTTCAGCTCAGGTCATGATCTCAGGGTCCTGGGATCGAGTCCGGCATCGGGCTCCCTGCTCAGCGGGGAGTCTGCTTCTCCCTCTGCCTCTCCTCTCCTTGTAGTCTCTCTTTCTCAAATAAATAAATAAAATCTTTAAAAAAATTAATAGCAAATCCCTGCTTCTAAACAAAGGTATTGTTTTACGTGGCAGTAGACTCCAATTTGCTGTGTCTTTTTTTTCTCCCTCTGACCCTCTTCCCTCTCGTGCTCTCTATCTCTCATTCTCTCTCTCTCAAATAAATAAATAAAATCTTTAAAAAAAATAAATAAAAACCCTGTCATTCTGTTCTTTTGCAGGCGGGGCCCTTGCGTTTGTCAGCCCGAGCTTGGCAGTGCACAAGACCTCCTCAGCTGTGGACCGCCAGCGGGAGTACCTCCTGGACATGATCCCGCCACGCTCCATCCCCCAGTCAGCCACGTGGAAATAGTGCGAGCCGGGCCCAGTGGAGAACAGGCTCCCTCCTCCCTCCCACCTGGCCCTGCCACCCTCCACTCGGGAAGACCTCATACTCCCTGAGAAACGAGTGAGCGAGCGCCGCCTGCGCTGCCGAAGCAAGGGCTCCATTCTTGGCTGCAAAGTCTCGTCGCAGCTGAGGAGCTGCTTCACAGGTGGACGAGGATTATCACTGAGGGACCTTTCCCTTGGGCTTTTTTCCTTTCTTTGCCTTTAGTTTGCCCAACACCAGCAGAAAAGTGGACCTCGGGGGCTGGTTCTGCTTCCGGCCCTTCCTTTCAGCCCCCTCTGCCCCCCATTCCACACCTCTCCCCCCCCACCCCCGGCAGGGTGCACGGACGGCTCACCCTGGACACTGTGACACGCTCGGCAAGACCGGCGCCCGGGGCTTCTGAAGTCGAGCGGAGCGTTCTGTTTTGTTTTTGCTTTTCCCCATCTTAGCCTCCCAATCTTTGACTGCCTTCCTTCGTGGCAATCTTTAGGTTGACAGATTTTTTTTTTTAATCACCTCATGATGATGGAGTTTAAAGTAAACCGTGCAGACCCAGGGGTCCCTGCCGAGCACGGCCCCTACACCCCAGAGGGTGGGCCACTGACTGCCCAGCCCTCACTCTAGCGGAAGGCCTCTGCTGCTGCTCATCCCGGAGACCCCGGACCTCCCACACTTAGCAGAAGAACAAACTGCAACCCAGACCCCAGCCAGAGAGCCTGGGATCCCAGAAGCCATGCACCGCCAGTAGAGGAGGGAGCAGAGAATTGGCAGCAACATCCAGAGCCTGAGTGGGAAGTTGGAGGGGCGGGCTATTGTGTTTTTTTGTTGTTGTGGTTTTATTTTATTAAATTTTTCCTTTTCTTTTCCTACTTATTTTGATGGACACCATCCTAAGCTGCCCTGGCCTATACTCCTGTCAGGTGTGTCTGATGGGGAGGTGCCCCTGCCCCTCCAAGACTTCAGGGTTTCCGTTTGGGTCTAGTTTAGAACCTTCCCTTAAAACAGGGCCATGCTGCCAGGGTCGCCTTCAGATTGTTTTTTTGTTTTTGTTTTTAACCCTTTTTCGAGTCTACAGAAATGTCTTATACAAAGGATCAGGTCTGCTCTTAGTTGTTTCATTTTGGTTTCTCCCACTCCTTAAAAATCGGTTCCATGAGGATAGGCAGAAGCTGTCGTGAGTGTGCTGTGCACAAGGCTGTCTCCTTGTAGGTGCGAGGGCGTCCTGTGTGCACACACACGTGTTTGTCGATGTGGAGATGGGGTACGCTGCTCCCCACTTCAGCCCCAGCCCTAGTTTTCCTATCCATGCAGTTAGGGACTTAATTTAAAATCCTTATTTTGTAGGGCCGCCTTCTTCAAAACACACTGCTACAACATTCTAATAAAGGCTCATTTAACCCCCTCTCTCATGTGTGAATATCCATGTTTAGCAACATTTTGACCCGCGGTAGAAGACCTAGTTTTGCAACATTCTAATTTTTTGTTGTGTAAAACCCTGTATTTCTCATTGATTTTTGTTTTGAGTGCATAACTTAGATGGGCTGAAGGAGGGGAGGGCAGGGAAGGGTGGCTTTCATTCCAAGATCCAGGGATTTGGGGGAAAGGAGGGAAATTGACATGGGGGGTGTTTTTACACCAAAAAAATCAAGAGTATGCAAGCATTTCTATTTCTCACATTTTTCTGTGTGCCTGGCAAATAAATACTTGTCTCATACTACCCTGAGCTGTTAGCCCTCTCTGTTCAATGACGTGGGCCAGATTTTCCAAATCCTTCAAGAAGGAGCACCTGGGCTGGCCACTTCCATGGGCAAACAGACCTCAGTTCTATGCAGTAACTCGGGATCAGGTGTCCAGGCGAGAGTCACCTCTGCACTGGAGGGGTGTGACAGGATTGTCACGCCCCAGCTGGGGTTGAATGGGTCTGTGACTCATGGGCCCAAGCTGAACTGTGCTGTACAGGTTGGCCCTCAACCCCAGCCCATTAGAACCTCGCTCTTCACTGTGCTCAGGAACCACCTCTACTCACCTTGCCTGGCTAGACTTCTACTGGCCTCTGAGCTGTTAAGTGGGCTTCATGAATTCAGTACAAACCCAACCGCCACAGGTGGAGGATGGGGCTACCGGCCCTGGCCCTGGCTCTGCCTCCTCCAGCCCAGGGTCCCTGGGAATAATCCCATCAGGGGCCACTTACTGTGACATGTAACTTTTTTTAAAGGAGACGTGAGATGCCTTAATTTTCTGTTCATTTCTACTGTATCAAAACTCTTACCCCCCCCCTTTTGTTTCCCCCTTTGCAGTATAACTTCTCTGATAAGCCCCAAATGAGTAGTTCTTTGATGAGGTTTATGATGTTGCAGGAAAGGCATATTAAATACCTCTCTGCATGTGGGGTTTGGACATACTAGGAAAGGGATAGTAATGTTAAGAGTGTTCTCCCAGCAGCAAAGCCTGCCAAAATTGGTCACAGTGCTGGGGTCCTCGTCTCCCCCACCCCCACCCCAGGAGCCTCAGGACTGAAAGGACCTGGTTCCTAGGAGCAGTGAGAATGTGGGGAGCCCCCAGTCCCAAATGATGATGATGGTCACAAGTTATCTGTGACATGAACTCTGAACGGCAACTGGAAACTGTTCAAGATGCTAGCCACTCAAGGGTGAAGGGTTGCATGTTTGAAATGGCCATATGTGTATACATGCATGTACACATAGATACATGTATGTCCACTTGGAGCCTCCCATTGCTCTGGCCATCCTACCCATGTCACTGGGTCCCCAGTGTCCCAACTGTGATGTTGGGACCCACACCTTTGATAAGGCCAACAGTTGCCCTCCTCCTGGGGGTAGCCTCTGCTCCTGTCTGTACCCTAAGACCTTCACAAAGCAAAACTTGGCCCCAGTGCAGAGGGAATGAAAGACACCTGAGTACAGCCCTGCTGTGTGTTGTGGTTCCTGTGTCCCACGTGTCATTTTCCTGTGGACAGAAAGACATGGGGAAGAGTTTTCTATATAAACATTCTTATCACAGGGGTGTAAATCATGGAAAAGGCTGGCGTTGCTGCTGCACCATAGAGTTTTTATTTGATGCCGAGTTATGCTGCACATTATGGTTGCCTAAAGAACTTGGACTGAGCTTTTTTTAAAAAAAAAAGGACAGCTAAAGTTTTATAATCCTTAACAATGAAAGTGTAATAGACAGTTACACTAGTTCAGGGTATTTGGAAGGTGGGGGTTTGGGGGATGGGTGGGTGGGGAGGTTGTCACTTGTATTTATTGTGACGCTAAATCTTTGATAATAAATGTAAAAGATTGACCACCAAACCGGAATTAGAAGTTCCAATAAACAGAGGCTGGAATCAATGGCTATGCTTGTGTCACGAGGAAGTTTTAGAATCTGACGGAAAATAAAGAAATGGACAATGTCTTGGTTGTATTTTTCTTTTGTCCCCTCGGCCCTGGTTTCCCTGCATTATTTTTGTCCCAGCTTTGGGACAGCTTGGAGACTGGGGAAGGTGTAGCAGGGTGACCCCTTGTTAATGGGGAAACTGAGACGCCTGCTTCTTGGGCTTCTTTCGGACTTCACTTCCAAAAGTGGGTGGAGTACCTCCCCAAACTGGGCACTGTGGCTTTGCTTCTGGGCCTCCCAATCTTCACCAGAACCTGTGGCTTTGTGGCCTACTTATCCACAGCTGAGAGAGTGAGGTGAGAAGCCAGTGGGTTTTGCCCATCCACTAGCTCTTAACCCCTTCCAGCCTCCACCCCGGAGTGGTAAGTTTTTCTGGGCCAATTTTCAGACCTGGCATCTGCATTGGGTGTCCTTGCTACAGGAGGTATTATAGATGCGGGTTCTAGCACAGATGGAGCTGCCCTGCCAGCTCCGAAATGAACAATTTCTGGTGAAAATTTGTTTTCAGATGTTGATACACTGTTTCAAAAGTTATTCATAAAGTGGGACCTGTGCTCACTGATGAATTTTTAATATTTTTTTAAAGATTTCTTTTAGAGCAAGAGTGCGAGTCGGGGAGGAGCAGAGGGGGAGAGACTCTCAAGCAGTCTTCCCAATGCGGGGCTCCATCTCAGGACCCTGCGATCACAGCCTGAGCCAAAACCAAGAGTCATATGCTCAACCGACTGAGCCACCCAGTTGCCCCACTGACTGGTGAATTCTAATGTGCCTACAATACGACCCTGTTTTCCTAGGTGCTTTTATTATTTTCATTTATTTTTATTTTTTGCAGTTTCTTGTCTTTTTTGTTAAGACATTCCTGCCTCCAACCTGGGGGTAGATGGTCCTCTCCAACCACCACACCTAGCTAGGTTTCACGTGGGCAAAGCACAGGACTGATAGAAGACATTACAGAAATTAACCCAAACCTGCCCCAGTCTACCTGTGATACATCCTGACTGGTGCCCCTATGCCCCAACACTGGCTGTGAGAAGCACACTTATGGGGCTCTCCGGGGCTCCAAATTCAGCCCTCAAGTGAGTTTTCACTGGGTTAGGCACAGGCTCCTCAACTGACCCACTGACTCAACAGGGGTGAGTTTCAAGCAGCTTCTCCAGCCAACAAATGGGACAACTGCCCCAATCCCTGAGGTCTTGTCCCCTCCCAACTGATCCACAGGTCTGTGGCCATGGGGTAGGAAGAGACCCAGGCCCCATTGCTCACACAGATTAATCTATGGATAGAAAAAGGCAGATACCATACCCAAGGCACTAGGATTCCTTGAACAAGGGCAAGGAAGGAAAGAACGGAGTGTCAGGGAAGAGGTGACTTAAACCAAATCTGGAATGAAGAAAGGGGGAAAGTGGTTCAGGGAATGGCAACAGCCAGTGCAAAGGCTCAGAGGTGAGACCATACCTGGAGGGTCAAGGACAAGGCAGGCAGTGTGCCTGGGCCACAGGAAAAAGGGGTGAGGATGTGGGTTTCATTGTGAGTGTAGTGGGAGCCTCAAGAAGGCTCAGGGTGTGGTCTTTCAATGAGCCACACAGCCCTTCCCTACAACCTGGAGGAAAGGTTCCTACCTCCATTTTCCAGGTGCAGAGCCCAAGGATGGTCCAGACCAGAAGAGGCGCCCTCCTTAGTGTAAACCAGAGGGGTTGGGTTTTCTTTCTCAGCTCAGATTGTGAACCAGCCAGGACTGGAGGCAAGGCACTTCCCCTCTCTTAGCCTCGGTTTCCTCATCTGCCTATTTGAAGGGGGTTAGGGAAGAGTTGGCACTTAATCCCCAGGGCACCTGAGAACACAAAGCTTGAGTGAGCAGGAGCAGGGAATGGTCAGACCCACAAAATAACCAGCCTCCTTGGGGACTGTGCAGGGCTTGGAGGCAGGTAGGATTAGGGCTTAGGGAGACATCTTCCTTGCACCCCAAATGAGAGAGAGCCGCTGTCACCAAACCCTCTAACCTCATTGCAACAAAATAATCCCCAATCTCTCCCAGGCCCTGTGGGGTCCCCTCTCCAGACATACACTTTTACCTCTCCACATCTTCTCCCTCCCTCTCCATTCTAGCCATAGGACTTTCGTGGCATTCCCCAGACATACCAGCTTCAATGTATCTTGGGAACACTCAGAACACGTTCCTTCTGTTGTTTCCAGTGGCTGATTCCATCAGGGTTAAGCTCAAATGTCTGCTTCGGTCCTTCCTTGGTCACCTGCCCCTCCCCTCACCCAGCATTTAGCACAAGTTACAATTATTTTCTTTCCATGCTATTCATTTTTACTTGACTTTTCACTTGCCTCCTCGCTGAGGGCAGGGATGGATCCAAACCTCTTTGTGGAGTCCCAGAGCTTGGCACACAGTAGGCGTTCAATAAATGCATGAATGAAGAGACGACTGAAGTAACCAGCTTGCCCAGCAGATTCATGCCTCACTCTTGACTCTCCCCCGCCCCAGACAACTTCTTTACTAAGGAAGGGCCCTTACTAAGGAGAGCTTCCACCACCTCCCCACCCCACTCCAGCCATATCCAGTTTCAAATTCCAGATGTGTTATTGGGCAAGTGTCATTTGTGTGGGCCTCAATTTCCTCATCTATAAACCCTGTTTCTGTTGAGACAGGCGGCCCCCCGCCCCGCTCCCCGCCCCTCCCCCCCCCCCCCCTGCTGAATCCTTAAACACGGTGAGGGTGCTGGGATGCTTGCTCCCCAGCCCCGCATCTCTATTGCCAGGGCCATCACGACCCCAGCACGACCCTTCGAGTTCTCTTGAGGCTGGAGGGCCTGAAAGTCCGGTTTGAATCCTCCCAATTCCCTTTCGAGACCTAGAGCTAGAACCTCAACAAGCCCTTCTCTTCAATGGGGCGCCACGCCTGCCTTCCCCCGGGGGACAACCTCCCATCCCTACTTGGTAAAAGGGGGCCATTGCTAGAGGCAGGTGCGAGGAAGAGCGAGTTTATTTCAAGTTCCAAGGAGGGAGCGCCCGGAGCGTGCCTTCCCCCACCAGCCTGCGTAGCTGCCTAGAGAAGGACGCCCTCCACACGCGTCCACTCGCTGGCAGCTCCTCCAGGTAGCCAACGCCTGCCCGCAGCCATCGCTCATTCCGCGCTGGCGCAATGCTTCCATTTCTTCTCGTCCCTTCCCCTCCCGAGGCCTTCTCTTGGGAAACAGAGGAAGCGCTTGCGCCCTCCTGCTCTCGGGATCGTAGGGAGAGGAGTTAGATTCTAAACAGGGGCGACTACCGCCCCGGACGTCCAGAGACCGGAAAAAGGCGCGTGTCGGCTTCGCAGCGGTACCGAAGCGCGCCTGGCGCGCGTGCACTGCGCTTGCGCAGTGCTCGGGGCGGCGGGAATGGCGGGAACCCCGGCTTCTAGCTGGAGTCCCCAGCACGCAGCCAGCCGTTGCGCGCTACCTGGCCCGCTGAGGGCCTGGCGGACGGGCTGAACTGCAGCAGTTCTGCGATCAGGGCCTTGCAGCGCTCGGACAGCTCGAGGCCATCCGGGTAGAGGACGCCACGCTTCTGGCGCCTGGGCAGACCAGCTATGTCCGAGTCGTCGAAGGGCATGCACCCGGTGACCATGACGTAGAGCACGACGCCGAGGCTCCACACGTCGTACTTCTTGGGGTCGTATGGGATACCCAAGAGTACCTCAGGCGACGCGTAGGCGGCCGAGCCGCAGTAGGTGGTGCTCAGGTCAGGATAGCCGTGTGCCTGGCGACCAAAGCCAAAGTCAGTGAGCTTCACGCGGCGCTCGTCGGGGCTCAACAACACGTTTTCGCACTTGAGGTCCCGGTGCACCAAGTGGTGGTCATGCAGGTAACGCACAGCCCCAGCGATCTGCGCGAATAGGTCACGCGCCTGACCCCCGGGGATGCGCCCGTTGCGCTGCACTGCCTGCAGCAGGTCGGTGGCAGCCGCCTCCATCACGATATAGAGCTTCCCATTGCACACCTCTATGAACTCGAAGACGTGTACGATGTGCGGGTGTCGCACGCCCCGTAGAATGGACAGCTCGCGCGGCAGAAACTTGTTGACGAAGTCGGGCGGCGCGCGCCTCCGGTCCACCACCTTGATGGCCACTGTGCCCTTGTACTTCTTGGACGTGGCCACCTTCACCTTGGAGTAACTGCCCTCGCCTATCGTGCGTCCCAGCTTATAGCCGAGTTCGCTCAGAAGTTTGTCGCCCGACATGGTGGCGCCTGGGGCGCGCGGGGAGCAGGAGGCGGCTGCTGTCGGGGGGCGGCCGGACTCCAATCTCGGGCCTAACCCATGGCGCTTGGCCCCTGCACACCCGCACCCCCATGTGCCCACTCCCGGGTCCCCGCCGCAGCGGTGCCTTTTATTGCCCAGGTAACAATTTCTGCCTTGTGAAGTGACCACGGGCGTCACCCCGCCTTGGGGTGGGGGCCCCCTGGACCCCGCCCCACAGGGCCCCCCAAGGCCATCCAGCTTTGTGACTCATAATCGCTCTGAATGGCCCAGTTCCCATGAGAGACCCTGGCAAAGGGTCCCGACCACCACTCGGGAGCAGAATCGGTGCCTGGCATTGGGGCGGCTCCTCATGAGTCAAATCTGAGCAGCAGTCGCCCCCCAGCTTCGTGTACCCAGCTCTGGCCATGTGGAGCTTTGGGACGCCCGCACAGCCCCGCGAAAGGGAGAAAACGAGAGAGGGGGCTTAACTGGGTAACTCGGTGACCCGGCTCCCTCAGGAGCTTGGGGTCTCTGAATGGCCTCAGCACCGCACCAGAGGGAAGGTGTACGGAGATGCTTTAGGGCAAGGACCCGGGCGACCGGACGGGCTACAGGCGTCTACACCGACTGAACCAAGCCCCGTCTAAGAGAAGAAATACGGAATCCTCGGCTACAGCCTGGCCGCCCAGTCGATCCCTGGACCTATTGCCCAAGCTCTCCTTCGCGACGGGATCGCTACATTAGCTTCCTAGGCGCCCTAGTCCCGCCCAAGACATGCGCGGTACATTCCGCCACACTCATCATGGCGGCGGCCGCCGGACGTAACTTCCGCTCGCGGACGGAAGTTGGGGTCCTGCGAGCATGGCAGCGTCGAAGGTGAAACAGGACATGCCCCCGCCGGGGGGTTATGGCCCCATCGACTACAAGCGGAACCTCCCGCGTCGGGGACTGTCGGGTCAGTGTCGCACTACGCCGGGGTGTCAGGGTTGGGGCTTCGGGGCGCCGCGACGGTGGGGGGGGCGCCGGGGAGTCTCGCGGGCCTCAGTTTCCGCCGCAGTGTGACGGGAGGCGGAGCCCAGGGATTCCCGATAGCTTCGGTAGTAACGAGGATAACTGCTGGAGTTTGTCGAACGCTTACTAAGCTTTGTTTTCTTCACAGAACAGTCCGGGAGGTCGGTCCCGTTAATTCTTCCCATTCCACAGTTGGTTAGACCGATCAATGTAGCCCGTGCCCCGAGCCCTCGGCCACACTTCCGTTTCACAAGTGGGGAAACTGAGGCCCTGCCCCCAGGGCTACCCAGTGTAAAACTCGTGCTGAAACTGAAACATTGAGGGAATTTAGAAGATGTTCCTCTCTGGTAGTCCCTACCTGCGGATGTCCCAGGAATATGTATTCTTAAATTTTTCAAATGTTTTAAGTAACATTTAAAATTTTGTTATTGGGCTCAATACAAGAAAATGTAAAAGAAAAAAAAGTAGAAGGGCCACATACTTTGCACCTAGGGTTAACAGAGAAATACAAAATTTTATTTTGTTTTGTTTTTTTAAGAGTTTATTTATTTATTTGACACAGAGAGACACAGCAAGAGAGGCAATACAAGCAGGGGGAGTGGGAGAGGGAGAAGCAGGCTCCCCGCGGAGCAGGGAGTCCGATGCGGGGTTCGATCCCAGGACCCTGAGATCATGACCTGAGCGGAAGGCAGAAGTTTAACCGACTGAACCACCCAGGCGCCCTGAGAAATAGAAAAATTTAAAGAGGGGCGCCTGGATGGCTCAGATGGCTGAGCGTCTGCCTTCGGCTCAGGTCGTAATCCCAGAGTCCTGGGATGGAGTCCCGCATCGGGCTCCCTGCTCCTTGGCAGCCTGCTTCTCCCTCTGCCTCTACCCCCCCGCCCCCCCCCCCCCCCCCCCCCCCCCCCCCCCCCCCCCCCCCCCCCGTCTCTCATGAATAAATAAATAAAATCTTTAAAAAAAAAAAAGAAGATTTTAAAGAAGGATGAATACATTTCCCATAACTCGTCGAACTTTATATTTAATGTTATGCACATGTGCCTCGATTAAAAAAATATATACGGGCATGGTAAAAAAGAATTCAGACAGTGGGAAAGTATCAGGTGAAAACTCAAGCTCCTCCCAGCCCCGTCTTGGCTTTTTTGTTTCCCAAAACCTCGGTTAGCAGACTTTTTCTATAAAGGGCCAGATAAATATTTTACACTTTGGGGACCAGATGGTCTCTGTCCACTGTTGCTGCCTCTTTTTTTTTTTTTTTTTTAAGATTTTATTTATTTATTTGAGAGAGCTCAAGAGAGCACAAGCAGGGGGAAGGGTAGAGAGGGACAAGCACTCCGTGCACAAGCACACGGAGTGGGGAGACTGTAATGGGGTTCAATCCCAAGACCCCCAAGATCACAACCTGAGCCGAAGGAATGCTTAACCACCTGAGCTACCCAGGCACTCCTCTGCTGCTGCATTTTTACAGCTGTTTACAAACCTGAAAGTGCTCTTAGCCCAAGAGACAGGTTACAGGCTAGATTTGGCACCACCTTGGCATTTGACTCATCCCAGAACAGATTGGACAAAAATAATGTGATCTGAATCTCTTCAGTTTCTTTTCTCAAGTATCACTTGACGCCCAGGCTAGTGTACCCCTCAGGTGTGCGGCGTGAGGTCTGTTTATACATGTGCCCCTGTGTGACCGGTAGCCAGACTGGGTTGACTGGGCTCCCCCTAGTCAGCATGTCTCTTTTTTATTTTTAAGTCACAAATGTGCCCTTAATCCCAGACCTCTTCCAGTTCATGCATGACATGGTAGTGCCTCCCATGTGCCCTCTATACCATTATCTAGGGTTGGGCCTCCTAGTTACACCCCTCACACCAACTTGCATTGTAGCATATACAGACCTGCCCCCTGGCTGCAGTGGGGTGAGGAAGAGACCCCTCCTGGTGGCATGGTCTTTGTTATGTCCCTGCGTTCAGTAGTTGCTTGTTGAGTGTACATGTGGCACTGAGCCCTGTCTGGAAGAGCTCATAGCCTAGCAGAGGAGATGAACATAGCGCACCAGAATTTCCCATTTTGGCAAGGCCCGAGCTAACCAGGGCCTGCTTTTGCCAGGGTGAGCTGGTAGGACCTCTCTGAAAGTCCCCTAGGTGAAGGGAACAGCAAGTGCAATGGCCCTGCTCTCCATCCTGCACTCTACCCTAATCATCTGTCCTGTGCCCTCCTCCAGCCTTGCGTTTGAGCCAGAGACCCCAGTGGCCCTCTCCCCATTAGTCCTACACACAAGCCTGGCATCCACTCCCCTCCTCCCTGCCTAGATCACTCTCCACTAGCGTCCTAGAACCTGCAAAGCTGGCTCAGACCACCTTTAATCCACACTGTTCCCGAAGTGACTGCTACTCCTGTCTTTTCCACTCAGTTCTCTTCTCTCCACTCCCTCTTGTGCCCAGTGGGTGGCCCTTTCTTTTTTCCCTGTGTCTTTAACTTTTTTTTTTTTTTAATTCACAGACAATACCATACAATTCACCTATTTCATGTGTACAAATCACAGATTTTTAGTCTATTCAGTTTCATAACCATCACCAGGATCTAAATTTATAACACTTCTGGGGCACCTGGGTGGCACAGTCGGTTAAGTGTCTGACTCTTGGTTTCGGCTCAGGTCGTGATCTCAGAGTCATGGGATTAAGCTCTGCATGGGGCTCTGCCATCAGCGGGCAGTCTGGTTGGGTTTCTCTCTCTGTCTGCCCCTCCCTCTCCCCCTGTGTGTGTGCGTGCATACACTCTCTCTCAAATAAATAAATTTAAATAAATAGATAAATTTATAACACTTCCATCACTCCAAAAGGAAACCCCGACCTCATGAACAGTGACTCCTCATCCTCCCTCTTCCAGCCCCTGGCAACCACCAGTCTGCTTTGTGTTTCTATGGATTTGCCAGTTCTGAACATTTCATGTAAATGGGCTTCTATTTTATGTGGCCTCTGGTGTCTGGCGGCTTTCACTCAGCAGGATGTTTTTAATGTGCATGGTGTAGCATGTGTCCAAGCTTCATTTTATTTGTTTGTTTATTTTTTGGTTGAATAATATTCTTGTATGAATGGACCACAGTTTGTGTATCCATTTACCACTTGATGGACATTTGAGTTGTTGCCGCCTTTTGGCTGCTTTGAACATTCCTGTGCAAGCTTCTATGTGGATATAGATTTCATTTTTCTTTTTTTTTTTTAAGATTTTATTTATTTATTTGAGGGAGAGAGAATGAGAGATAGAGAGCATGAGAGGGAAGAGGGTCAGAGGGAGAAGCAGACTCCCTGCTAAGCAGGGAGCCCGATGCGGGACTCGATCCCAGGACTCCAGGATCATGACCTGAGCCAAAGGCAGTCGCTTAACCAACTGAGCCACCCAGGCACCCTAGGTTTCATTTTTCTTGCGGGAAATTTCACCTAGGAGTGGCATAGCTAGGTCATGTGGTAACTCCACATTTAATGTTTCGAGGAACTGCCAAACTGTTTTCCAAATTGGCTGTACTGTTTTACATTTCTTCCTGCAGTTAGTTTATGGGATTTCCATTTTCTCCACATCTGGACAACACTAATTAGTTTCCTTTTTTTTTTAATTCTAGCCATCCCAGTGGGTGTGAGGCGATATATCATTGTGGTTTTGATTTGCATCTCCCTGGTGACTAACGATGTTGAGCATCTTTTCATGTGTCTAAAGGCCATTTGTAGAACTTTCCAGGAGAAATATCTTCCAAGTCCTTTATACATTTTTTAATTGGGTGGTTCATCTTTTTTCTTTTTTCTTTTTTTTTAGTTTTTTTGAGTGAGAGAGTATGCAAGCGCGGGGCGGATGGGGAGGAGAATCTTAAGCAGGCTCTACACCCAGCATGGAGCCCAAATGCAGGGCTTGATCCCACAGCCCTGAGACCATGACCTCAGCCGAAACCAGGAGTGGGATGCTTATCCAGCTGAGCCACCCAGGTGCCCCAGGTTGTTCATCTTTTATACGTCTTGGTTCCCATTCCCTTATCAGATACATGATTTTCAGAAACTCTCTTCCATTCTGGGGGTTGTCTTTTCATCTTGTTGATGGCATCATTTGTAGCACAAAAGTTT